CCTGTCCTATCCTGTGCCATCCTCACACTTTCTGACACACTAGAGCCCATTGCAACAGTCACTATGTAGGTCCACGTGGTAAGAAGCCTTCCTCTCCTTTGCTGACCCTCCACCCTTCCCAGTATCATGTCGCTCTCCAAGGAATAGCCCCTCCTCGTATGTGAGATGAAGCCTCATCATCTTTTCCTCCAAAGAGCACTCTGGCTGCACCCTCTCCACGTGTTTGTTTGGCCGTCCATGAGATGTTCAGTACTCTTCTCCAACACCGCAACTCAAAGGCCTTTATTCTTCTTCTGTCATCCTTATTCATTGTCCATCTCTCAGATCCATAGCAAGTGATCAGAAAGACCATAGCCTGAATCACATACACCTTAGTCCACATTTGACATCCTTACTCCTTAATAATTTGGAGAGGTCCCTAACTGCAGACTTTCCCAGTGCACTGCATCTCCTTATATCCTGTCTGCTGGTACCAAAGGTGTTTATTGTGGATCCAAGCAAGAAGCTGTCGACAGGTTTGATCTCTTTTCCACCCATTATGATGTTGTCTATAGGTCCAGTGGTAAGAATCTGTTTTCTTGACATTTAGATGTGACCCATATCAAAGGCTACATTCCTTGATCTTCTGCATCAAATGCTTCAAGGTCTTACTTTCAGCAAGCAATGTTGTGTCATCTGCATAAGACAGGTGACCGATGGTCTCCTCTGATCTTGCTTTCTCTTCATAGAGTCAAGCTTCTTCAATAATAATTTGCTCAGCATACAGATTGACTGAGTATGGAGAAAGAATTCAACCCTGATACATTCCCTTCTTAATTTTAAACCATGCAGTGTTTCCCTGATCAGTTTGCAAAACAGCCTCCTGGTCCAGGTATAGGTTCCACATGAGCACAACTAACTACTCTGGGGTTCCCATCCTTCTCAATGTCAGTCATAATTTGTTATGATCCACAAAGTCAAATGCCTTTTCATAGTCAATAAAGCACAAATAGATGTTCTTCTAGTATTCTTTACTTTCAGCCAGGATCCATCTGACATCAGCAATGATATCCTTAGTGCTATACCCTTGTCTAAATACTGTTTGAACTTCTGGAAATTCCCAATCTATGTACAAACCATTTTTGAATGATCTTCAGCATTATTTTGCTTGCATGTGTTATCAATGACACTGTTCAATAGTTTCCACATTCTGTTGGATCACCTTTTTTGGGAATGGGAGCAAATATGGACCTCTTCCAATCTGTTGACCAGACAGCTGTCCTCCAAATTTTCTGGTATAGACTGGTGAGCACATCATAGGCTGCATCTGTTAAATGAAATAAGACAATTAGTATCCCATCAATTCCTGGGGTCTGTTTTTTGCCAATGCCTTCAGTGTAGCTTCCATTTCCTCCTTTTTTACCATTGGCTTCTGTTCATATGGTACTTCCTGAAATTTTTTCTGTGTCCATCAGTTCTTTTCAGTATAGTAATTCTGTGTATTCCCTCCATTTTCTTTTGATGGATTCAGATCGGTTGTGATGAATGGCTGTCTACTCCATGGCATCTAACAACAGCAGTTATAGATGTAGATGCTGAAAGAAGGAAGCAAGTGGCTTGCTCAAGGCCAGTTAGTCCAAAATGGTGTACTTCCAGCCTTAACTCAAGCAATCTGCTCCACAGTATTTACTCATCTTGTTGTGCATTTCTCTAAGCAAACACATACTCACCTGAAATAGGTTCCTAATACTGTAATGTCATCAAGAATTAAGTGATAGATGAGACCAGATCATTGAGCTTGATTATGGGATTGGACTCAGTTCTATGGTGGAGAAGCACCAGCCTGACGTCTGTGAAAGCAGAGAAGCATCTTATGACTGGGGAGGGGGGACGGGTTTAGAAGGCTGTTTTGTGAATGAGGTAACCTGAAACAAATTTGAAATATGAAAATAAAAAATTTTAAAAGGGAGGCTTTGAGCTGGTGCTTTTTTTAGAAGATACCAGAAGGCTGGAAGGATGTGCTGTGTACTCAGAAGACGTGGCCACCAGGGCGCGAGGGAACTGAGGTCTGCTAGGGCTTGGAGTGCTGCCTCAGGAATGAGAACGCACAGCTTGAAAGAACAGTTTTAGGAAATTGTTTTGATAAACTGGATTAGCAGATACAGAGAGGCTGAATCAACAGTAGATTAATATAAATGTCACAAGTGTTTCTAACAGTGTAAGAAGCATCTGGAAAATAGCTGGACAAATTTGACCAGACAGGGGGATGTTTCTCTTTTAGTTCCAGAATGATAATAGGTTTCTATTCTGGTGGCGCTGGGTTTGTTCAGCACTTGTCCTTAGATGGTACTCCACAGGTCTTCTACTCAGTGTTCTACTACCAACACGGGGCTAGGCTTTCAGAATTTTGTGTTTGCAAGGAAAGAGAGAGGGCCCGGTGCAGGTCAGAGACCTGAGAGCTGTGCGCATCTGAGTTAGTTTTCCTCCTGCCATGTGGACCTTGTGTTCTGCAGCCTTGATGGACTCCAGAGCTCCCACTGACTCCTCAGACAGATGTGCCCTTGAGCATGAGGATGCTGCTAAGGCCTTTCAGCATCTGAGGCATTTTGCAACTGTAAAAAATTACCTAAATTATCAAAATGAACCTCATGTAATGTTTTCAATGATATTATTAAAATGAATTTTCCAAACTATTTTTACCAAAAGGAAAAAATTAACATTCAGAGAAAGAAAAAAACATGTAAGTCAATACTGTCCCTCCATCCGCACCCCCACCTTATGGACATGAAGATCAGTGAAGGGAGCACCACCCTAAGGGACGAAGATGGCTGGGCTCCTCCTGTGTGATTTGTTGTTGTTGTTGTTCTTACATGCCATCGAGTCCCTTGCGACTCATAGCGGCCCTATGTACAACATCCCTAAACTCTGCTCTGTCCTGTGCCAGTCACACCATCTCCAACACACCCAACCCAATTACTCCAGTCACTGAATCAGTCCACTTCATAGGGGGCCTTCCCCTTCTGCGCTGTCCCTCCACCGTCCCAAGCATGATGTCCTTCTCCAAGGACCTGTCCCTCCTTGCAACATGTCCAAAGTATGTTAGATAGAGCCTTAGAATCCTTCCTCCAAGGAGCCACCCGGTTTAACCTTTTCCATGACAAATCTGATTGTTTTCCTAGCAGTCCATGGTATTCTCAATACTCTTCTCCAGCACCACAGCTCAAAGGCATCAATTCTCCTATACTCCTTAGTTACTGTCCAACTCTCTGATGCATAATAAGAGATAGCAAAGACCATGGCCTGTATCAGACGCACCTTAGTCTCCAGAGAGACACCATTGCTCTTCAGTACTTTGGAGAGGTCCCTAACAGCAGACTTTCCCATGGCAATACGTCTTCTAATTTCCTGGATGCTGGTGCCAAGAGTGTTGACTGTGGAGCCAAGCAAACTGAAGCTGTGAACAATCTCAGTCTCTTCACCATCCATCCTGATGCTGCCAATTGGACCAGTGGTAAGAATCTTTGTCTTTTTGACATTGAGCCTAAATCCATATTGGAGGCTGCAGTCCTTGACCCTCTGCAGCAAGCGCTTCAGGTCCTCCTCAGTTTCAGCAAGCAGGGTTGTATCATCTGCATATCGCAGATTGTTGATAGATCTTCCACCAATCTTGACCCCACATTTCTCCTCATAGAGCCCAGCCTCCCGGATAATCTGTTCTGCATACAGGTTGAAAAGGTATGGAGATAGGATGCATCCCTTGGCGTACGCCCTTCCCAATTTTGAACCATGCAGTGTTCCTTGCTCTGTTCTAATGACTGCATCTTGGTCCAAGTATAGGTTTCTCATTAGCACAATCAAGTGTTCTGGTATTCCCATTCTTCTCAGAGTCAGCCACAGTTTGTTATGATCCACACAGTCAAATGCCTTTGCATAGTCAATGAAACACAGATAGACATTCCTCTGGTACTTTCTGCTTTCAGCTAAGATCCATCTAACATTAGCTACAATATCCCTAGTACCACGACCCCTTCTAAACCCAACCTGGACTTCTGGTAGTTCTCTGATGATGTGCTGTTCCAGTCATTTTTGGATAATCTTTAGTAGAATTTTGCTTACATGTGAAATCAATGAGATTTTTCTATAGTTTCCACACTCTGTTGGATCACCTTTCTTTGGGATGGGAACAAATATAGATCTCTTCCAGTCAGTTGGGTAGGTGGTGGTTCTCCAGATTTCTTGGCACAACTTGGTGAGCACATCCAGGGCAGCATCTGTTAGCTGAAATATGTCAATTGGTATACCATCTATTCCTGGGCCTTATTTTTTGCTATTTCCTTCAAAGCAGCTTGAACTTCTTCCTTCATCACCATAGGCTCTTGCTTATGTGTTGTTTCATGAAATTCTTCTGTGTCTGCCAATTCCTTTTGATACAGTGACTCAGTATGGGGTCCTGAAATCATCCGCCACATTTCGGGTAAATGTGGAGTGCCAAGGCCACAGTGCACGATCCGTTCTAAGGCTCCATAGAGGGGAAAAAATAAGGAATCCTGTGTGGTTTACAGCCTCTGAAAACCTGCTGAAAGGTCAGCTGTGACTTGGTTCTGACTCAGTGGTACATAGCAACAGCACTATATGCAAATGAAAATCAGTGAAGGGCAATTGTCTATATGTTGTGTCATTGTTAAGTGCTGTCGAGTCATAGATGACTCATAGTGACCCTATGAATGAAAAAGCTGGACACTTGTATAACTTTCATAATTTCTCCACCTTCATAGAGTTTCTGGAGACAAGCTATTTTGGAAGTGGATGCCACTCCTGTTTACAAGCTGGTTTTAATAGGGGAGCCCCACCAAACACTGTCCACCATGGGTAACCATTATCACATTTGATATATCAGTGTCACAGTGTTTAGCATCACAGCCACTACGAGTTACTTCTGTACAGCAAATGAATATAAGAAAAAATTTAATATCTGCTTTTAGTCCATTTCCATGGTAACCTGCTGGCTTCTTTTCCTCAAGCCCTCACACAGGTATTCAGGAATACCAGGATGGTGTGCCCAAGATCCCAACTGCCTGCATTACAGTGGAAGATGCAGAAATGATGTCAAGAATGGCTTCTCATGGAACCAGAATCATCATTCAGCTGAAGATGGGAGCAAAGAACTACCCAGATGCTGACTCTTTCAACACTGTGGCTGAGATCACTGGCAGCAAGTATCCAGAGCAGGTGGGTGAAGGGGATTGTGGGCTCTCTGGGAAGAGACTATTTTAGTCAAGGTTCGCTTTTCAGAGGAATTAAAAAAAAAAAAGAACAAGAGCTTGAAAAGCTAGTCATCATAGATTTATTATAGGCAGAAGCTGAGATCAAACTTTTCCCTTCAAAACTTTTACTAACTTCACTCAGAAAAGCAGGACTGAATGAAGGATAGAATAGGAATCATGATGTGGAAATTCAGCCTTTTGAAAGCTGAAAGTTGTGTTTGTGTATCTGTGTTGTATTTATTGCATTTGGAGCAGCTTTATATTTGAGATAATACTTATAACTAATTGATAGTGACTTTATTGTGTGAATTGTATCATTTAATCTCTTCAGAGTTCAATGACTTGGGATCCATTGTTTTGTTTTACAGAAGTGGAAACTAACTCATAAGGATAATGTTTGGCACAAAGTCTAAACAGCTAGTAAGTGGGTAAAGAAAAGGAATTCAACCTCAGGAACGTTGAGACTGTGCAACCAAGCTTTAAACCAGATTACATTCTGTTTCTAGATAGGGTTTTGGTGCCTTTGTTTTTGCTAGTAAGGCTTGAAAATCATTTAGACCCAGAGGAAAAACTAAACTCTACACTTTGCTAGTTTAATATTATGTACCTTGAACTAGTTAATTATACTTTGAGTTTTAGAGACCATCTCTGTAAAGAAAGGAACGATATGTGTAACTAACAGAATGACTGCACATTTGGTAATCTAGTACAGTGGTTGGTACCTCACAGATGCTCACTGAAAGTACATTTACCTCAGTTGTGCAGGAAAAAGTTTCTGTACAAATGCCTTTTTAAAATTCCTTTGAAATTTTGAAAGTATGACTTAAAAATAATATTATCCAGGACTTGTGTGTTTGAGGGTACCAGTGAGAGTAAAGGAGAAGTAAATGACGATGATCTTTATCTCTCCAAAATGAAACTACCTGATATTTTTTGTCAGGACTTCTTCTAGACTTAAGTACTTTGCTGCTCTATTCTTTTAAGTTCTAATCTTCTATCCTCATTATACATCAGCCCTGTGGCTGTGGTCTCAGGGATAATAGAAAAGCAAGATTTCAGTGGGACCATAGAACATCAGATACCTATGAGTCAAAATTGGCTCAACAGCACAAAACAAGATATACTTCAATTTGTTAATCTGCTCAACAGATATTGGGAATTTGAGTGATTTCTAGGTATTTTATTATAAATTAATATGGCTTCTGTGAACATTTTTTACAGGTCTTTCTGTGGACATTTCTTTTCATTTCTCATATCTAGAGAGGGTTAAGCCAGGCTGTTCCTTGGAGGCAAGGATTCTGGGGCTTCGCCTGACATACTTTGGACATGTTGTAAGGAGAGACAGGTCTTTGGAGAGGGACATCATGCTGGGCAGAGTG